CGAAAAACAAGCCACTCAGGGCGAGAAAGATGGGAAGACAGGGGCTATGGAGCTCGATACTCATTGCTGAGCAAGGCCCGCGTGCTGCGCCGTTCGTGAGGGAAGTATCCAGCTCGTCTTTAAACTTCTACTCTTATGATGATCAAGCTGTTTATGTGGAATTGCCGGGGGGCCAAACACCCAAGATTTTTGTCTACGTTCAAGGAATATATGCATAACCATCGACCCAACCTCGCCTTCATCGTCGAGCCCCGCATCAGTGGCAAAGACGCGGAAGATGTGATTGGGAAAATGGGGTTCGATCGTCACGAGGTAGTGGATGCTGTGGGATTCTCCGGTGGCATCTGGGTGCTCTGGAATGAATCTGTCTTCTCCATTACTATCCTGGACCGCAGTTCACAGTTTATCCACTTCCGCTGTACAGGAGAAAACAACAGAGCGGTGGCCTTGACAGCCATCTATGCCAAGCCGAACGACTATGATCGGCGTCCCTTATGGCAGGAGATCAGAAGATTGGAGTCTATCATCAATGAGCCTTGGCTGCTGGCGGGCGATTTCAACTCTGTCACTTGCCCTACGGAGCGCAGAGGAGGAGCGAAATTCAATCCTCAAAAGGTGGCTGACTTCAACAGATGTATCCATGACTGCGGGCTCATTGATGTCGGGTTTGAGGGGCCTAAGTACACATGGACGAATGGCAGGCTCTCCCAACGTCTCGATAGAGCGTTATGCAATCAAGAATGGACTAGACATTACCCAGACACGAGTACCACTCATCTGTCGCGATTGCGATCTGATCACAGGCCCATTCTCGTTTGCAGCTCCACTAGGCACATTCCGCCTCAACAAGTAAGACCCTTTAGATTTCTTGCCCCTTGGCTTGCTCATGAAGATTTCCCTCGTATGCTTGATGCTTCCTGGAAACGAGGAAAGGATTGTCTGGTGTCTCTGCAGGATCTCCAGGATGAGCTTCGAGTCTGGAATAGAGAGGTCTTCGGTAACGTGTTCAGACGAAAAGCGCTCCTCATCAAGCAACTGAACAATCTTGAGATGAGAAATGACCAAGGGGGGGGCCAATACCTGATGCAAGAGGAAGCCCGTGTCCGTGAAGAGCTGGAGCAAACTCTATGGCAGGAAGAACTGTTGTGGCTGCAAAAGTCACGCCATAACCACATCATCAATGGAGACCGCAACACCAGTTTCTTCCACAATCTGACTCTGACGCGTAGGAAGAAGAATAGAGTCACCAAGCTCCAAGGAGATGACGGCATTTGGATAGATGACCCTGATATGCTTCGGCTGATGGCAAGGGAATTCTACCTCAATTTGTACACTGCAGAGGACACGGAACAGATTAACATCACTGCTCACTTCAAGGTTTTAGAGGAGGAAAGAACTAGTAAACTCTCTGCCATCCCATCTCTTGAAGAGATCCAAATGCTAGTCAAGGAAATGGGTGGTTTGAAGGCCCCAGGAAAAGACGGGTTCCAAGCTGTCTTCTACCAGAAGTGCTGGAATAAAGTGGGTGTCGACTTGCATAAGCACATCACCGAGTGCTTTAAGGATCCTCAGCGTATCAAGCTTTGTAACGAGACTCTTCTTGTGTTGCTGCCCAAGATCGAAGCGCCCACAACTATATCACAATTTCGCCCGATAGGTCTTTGTAACGTGAGTTACAAAGTCCTTGCAAAATGCCTAGCCAACCGCCTCAAAGGACTGATGCCGCAGCTTGTGGACCCCAACCAGTCGAGCTTCATCCCTGACCGCCATATAACGGATAATATAATTATTCTTCAGGAAGTGATTCATTCCATGTCCCTCAGAACGGGGATGAAAGGGATGATGGTGTTGAAAATCGATCTGGCCAAGGCCTATGATCGGATTAACTGGGGTTTTCTGGAAACCACCTTAGCTGCTGCTGGACTTCCACCAGACTTTATAGCTATGATCATGGCATGCGTCACAACTGCGAAATTCCAGGTTCTATGGAATGGAGGATGCACAGAATGCTTTCAACCGTCCCGAGGGATTCGGCAGGGATGTCCCCTTTCACCCTACTTATTTACTTTATGCATCGAGCGGCTTAATCACTGTATTAAAGATGCCATTGCTAGTGCTGCTTGGAAGCCAATCTTTCTTTCTAAGAACGGCCCTCCTCTAACTCACCTTTTCTTTGCAGACGACCTGGTGTTATTTGCGGAGGCGACGACAGGACAAGGAGAAGCTATTCTAGACTGTTTGGATCGCTTCTGCAGGGCTTCTGGTGAACAAGTCAGCAGGGACAAGTCCCTCATATTCTTCTCTAAGAACACGAAGGAAAGGACAAAGAGGGACATTAGTAGACAGCTGGGTATTAGACCGACGAGCAACCTTGGGAAATATCTTGGTGTGCCGGTAATTCATGGGCGAGTGACGAAGGATACTTACAGATTCATCATTGAAAAGATTGAGAAGAGGTTATCTGGGTGGAAGGCCAGAAGCCTCTCACTGGCAGGGCGCGTGACGCTGGCAACCTCGGTTCTCAATGCGCTACCGAACTATGTTATGCAGACCGCTGTCCTCCCAATCTCGATTTGTGATATCATCGATAAAAAAGTCCGTGCCTTTGTTTGGGGGTCAGAGGAAGGGAAGCAGAAGTCAAGCCTAGTCTCTTGGGAATCTATTTGCAAACCGAAAGAAGAGGGGGGTCTAGGATTGCGCTCGGCGCGAGCTTTGAATCTTGCGTACCTAATGAAGCTGGGTTGGGCGTTCCTCAATAACAGTGAGGAGTTGTGGGTCAGAGTACTGCAGGGAAAATATTTTAAATCCAGCAGCGGTGGTGGCATGGTGAGGAAGAAGAGCCGTCAGTCCCGCCTCTGGAAGGGGATTATGGATGTTTGGCTTATATTAATGAAGGGGGCTGTTTGGGATTTGAGAGGAGGTCATGAGACTAAATTCTGGAACAGTCCATGGATTGCCCACGACATCATCCTCGGCGAGCACGTTATCGGCGACGGAAGCAACATTGCTTGGGAGGAAACAGTCGCGGACTTTGTATCTAACACCGGTGAGTGGAACTTCAGTAAGATCACACCACATATCCCTCACGATTTGGTGTGTTTGATTGCAGGTATCGACCCACCGTACGATGTGCTAGGAGAGGATGTGACAATGTGGGGGCTTGAAGAAGATGGAAAATTTCGGCTCCGATCAGCGTACAAGGCTGCCTGTGAATGGCTGAAAGAAGAAGAGAGCGTCGAGAGGGCTGATGAGAAACAACCAGATTGGAAAAGAATTTGGAAGTGGAACGGGCCTAGCCGGATAAGACACTTTCTTTGGTTGGCAGCACATGAAAGGCTCATGACCAACTGTGAAAGGAAGCGGAGGAAACTGACATCGGTCGACACTTGTGAGCTGTGCAAGCTTGCTCCAGAAACAACCGAGCATATACTGCGGCACTGCCCGCATACCCAGCAGGTATGGCGTATACTAAATCTCTCAGACAATGTCCTGAATGTTGGCCTCTGTTTTGCAGATTGGCTGGCAGCAAAGCTGAAAGATGCGGACTCTGGATTACTCTTTGGAGTGGCGGCTTGGTACTTATGGAAGAGGAGGAACGAGTACATTTTCCAGCAGAAGCAGACAAATGATCAGGTGCTTGGACAAAGAATCCGGAGCTGGGCAAATACAATAAAGCAAGCGCAGGAAAATGACAAGCAGGTGCACCAAACAACCACCACCAAAACCTTGAGGCAGCTACACTGGACTCCGCCGCCGACCGGTTGGGTATGCGTTAACACAGATGGCTCCGTCCGGCAACCAGAATCTAAGGCGGCGGCAGGTGGCCTTATCCGCGATGAACTAGGAAGATGCAGAGGAGCGTTCACAGCCAACTTGGGAGTCTGCACGATTACTAGAGCTGAACTGGTCGGAGCCATTCATGGGCTAAAGATGGCTTGGGATCAAGGACACAAAAAGGTGCAGCTTCTTCTCGATTCTATTACGGCTATCAGGATCTTGAGTGCAGGAGAGAAACAAAACCAGAGATATTACAACATCACTAGACAGTTTCAGGAACTGATCAACAGAAATTGGGAGGTACAAGTCTCTCATACTTACAGGGAATGCAACAGAGCAGCAGACTTCCTTGCCAACAAGGGGCATGAGGTTAGCGTAGGAAACCATATTGTTAGTAGTTCGGATTCAGGTCTTTCCTTTTGGATCTTGTATGACTCAATGGGCATCGCCCAAGATCGTTTAATTTAAGTGCCAAGCAGGGGTGCCCTTTTAGCACCCCATTTTTTACCAAAAAAAAAAAGAAAACATGCAAATTATTATTGTGAGCGGAGAGGGATTCGAACCCTAGGTACAAACAACTTGTACAATGGATTAGGAATCAGACGCTTTAGTCCACTTGCGCGAAGGCTTAAAGTCCTTTTTGCTAGGTCCAAAAGCTTCAGGAAAAAGGTTATATGGGATCAAGAGACGAATGAGGGGAAATGGCCTATCAATCATTGGTGCACCTCCCTTAAACAGTTGCCATCACTGGTAAAATGGTCATATGCATGATAGTATGTGTATCACATTTATCATCTTTCATCGCCTTATATCAAGGCAATATAAGGTAGTGTATTTGGTCCTAAAATCTCCTGCCCTGTCGCGCCCTCGCGAAAATTCATAGATCAAGCCAAATGTTTCAAAAATTGAGTTAAAAGAAAAGTGGTACGAAGTGATACAGAAAAATTACTGAAATAAATTGAAAAGTTATATAATTTTGTAGATCACAACAAACTCGTTAATCGTAAAAAAGAAAAGAAAAATTGAAATGAAAATTGAAATATAGGAGATATAAACTGAATAGAAAAAACGAACATTTTAATTTAAATCCTTAGATATGAATCCACTCAAAACTAACGCGTCAGATCCGGTTATTGGGCCTAAAATACAGAAAGGAATTTGAACTCCCACCGGATAAGCTTTTAGCCCAAAATACAGAAAGGAATTTTAGTCACTGACAGTAACACAAATCACATTTGCAGTTCGCTGCTCTCAAGTCGCAACCGGCAAGGCGGTTTCAATTTCAAAGGAAGATTGCTCACACTCCGATACGACGGCCAACCAATCAATTCTCGGTGATTTTCCCGGCCAGTTCCACGGAGGTCGGACTCGCTTTGATTCGCTGCTGGCTCACTACGACTCAGCTTAACCTGATTCGCGAAATCTTCCCGCTTTAATCTCACTCTTGATTTAGAGAGATCTCGCTCCTCTGTAAGGTGAAACGAAATTCCTTCGTTTCTTCAGTTGATGATCAAACTTTCAAGCCTGCTTATCGATAACGATTTACGCAAAGCTCTCATTATAATCGTTATTGTGCATTATCGTTCTGTTTTCAATTGATTGGGATAATAATGTCTCGGAGGCGGGTTGTGGAAGAAACTGACAGGCTGAGCGATCTCCCCGAAGGTATTCTGCATCACATTCTCTCATTCCTGGACACCAAACCTGTTGTCCAAACCAGTGTGTTGTCAAGCAAGTGGAGATTTGTGTGGAAGCATGTTCCGGTGCTCAATTTTAGGAGAAGCTCGTTTGCAACTGATCTGGGATTCGTGCATCATGTGGAACAAGTTCTATCCCACCGTCACTCCAACTGTGATGTTCTCAAGATTAGCACAGACTTTCGGATTCTCGCGAATATGGGTCTGTTTGCTAGGATCATGAAATATGCTGCCTCTCATGGTCTTCAGCAGTTATCCTTGCTTCGTATAGTGGAAGAGGAGTTTTACAGCGTGTTCCCTGATGCTATCGAATGCATCTCCAGTTGTTGTCAGTCTCTGAAAGTTTTGGAATTGCAGCAAGCATATCTGGACAGGGCTGCGTTTGAGACGTTGTCACGTCTGAATCAGCTTGAAACTCTGACTTTGCATTCCTCCTACTTTGATTTCGGTCGAGTGGATGAACCACTCGATCCTTTTGCTAACTTCCCCAAATTGGAATACCTGCAACTACTACACTGCACTTCTCGTAGCATTTCAGTTAACCCGGACGATCCTCGTTGTTGCCTGAAAGTATGTGGACCTCAACTGCTTTACTTGGAGATACATAAGGAATCCTTTGACGACATTGAGATATCTGCTCCCAAGCTCAAATCCTTCACTTATTGGGCTGACGTAGATATTCATGGAATACGTAAGGGAGTCTCAAAGTGGAGCTTTCCTTCCCTTGATCATGCAGATCTCAGCCTGTGGGGATACAAGGGTTTAGTTTCATGTGCTTTTGTTTCTGATGATCACAAGCAATCGCTGCTCGAAGGGTGTGTTAACTTGTTCCATGCTGTGTGTAATGTAGAATCTCTCAGTTTGCATATGGATACCACTGAGGTATTTCGTCTACTGATCGAAATAATTGTTATATATGATGAGCATAATTCTACCAAATGTTACTGTGATTTTATGATAGCATAGATACACTGTGCAAGACTGTAACCTTATTTAGATATGTTTCTGTACAAAACTCAATAGTTGTCTTTTGTTTATGTAATTCTGGCTTGCTTCTGCGCTTCAGATACTGATTCAGGCTTATGACGTTGTGAAAGATCAACCTTCACCCTTTGGGCGATTGAAGTTCTTGAATTTGCTGTACTCGAAGGGTTCTTTTAAAGTACCTTATCAAGTGATCCAGTACTTTCTCGAAGGCTCTCTTAACGTTGACGATAAGTGTTTTGTGATTGGGAAGGTATGTGTTTAAAGCTAAGCACTTTCATCTTGGCTTTTAGAATATGTTCAATTGTTTTGTGGTTGAGATAGTTGGATTCATTTAGTTTTACATGAGTTCGACTTTGTGGAATGATAGACACCATAAAATGGTTCAATGAAATGGCGCCCTCATATCGCAACAGGGCACAAGCGGATGGATGGAATCTTTACTACTCTAGTTGCATTCTAGGAAGTAGGAAGATAGCTCTTGCCACGAGGCTTTTCCCTACCTCTTTGTTTTGTTGCTTCTCGCAGTGTTTTTGTGGAGAAGTGGAGCTTACTGTTTCGGTTTTGCAGCTTGCTTTTTTGGTTTCTTTGTTTGGGGTTTAGCTCTTGGTGGATCATGCCTTATGGTCCTTTGGGCAGTTTGTTTGTTTATTTTGCTAGCAGACTACTTTTCTTGGCTGCTTCTTTTTGTATGTGGTCATTGAAATGGCATGCGTTCTTTGTTCTCTTTCGTTAATAATATTATCGCCATTATATAATAAAAAAGAATTAACGAGGGTGTTGACTTGTTAACTTCATTTTTCAAATCCTTTATTGTTTCCATTTCATTACATTCATGTATGTGAACATATGTTTAGAGCTGCTAATGACATCAATCCTCAATGATAACTGTTGTCTTTTGTTAATGCAGATGCCACGGGCTCGGAAACACGAGTTAGTGGCTGGTTCCTCTGTGCTGGTGGTAAACCTGGATTCACTTGATTTTGCTGCAGATGCAGTGGAAGAAGCAGAGGATCAGAATTCAGAAGGGATTGATCTGGATGACTAGAATCTCTTTTCTTATTGTTTCTTGCCGGACAATATAGGCGAATTATACATTCACTAGTATTTACTATCTGCTGAAACCTTTCATCTTTCTACTGCTGATTTAGCTCGTTAAGTAGCTTGTCCACACTATTTTCAGTTGAGCTTCAGCCTTTCATTTATCATGGTTAATGTAGCGTTGATTTTTCACCAGCCGAGGGATCTTTTTTTTTTTTGGTAAATAGATGCGCTGCATCTTAGCTTTCATTCAACACTAAACAGGGTTCGGAATTGTGAGCTTGACTATGCGGAGTTCCTCGTTGGGAAGATTGGGCGGATAAAAAGCTACAACTGGTCCGGCCTTGTTGTAGCAGAAATGAAGAGTAGTCTTGCTGCAGTTCTAGGAAAGACATTGCTTGACTGGGTCCATGGAGATGTCCACTTCCTCGTTGTAAATTTTAAGTATTCGTTCTTTCATTTATCTTTTTAAATATGTGTGATTGTTTTGAATATTAGTTTTATCGTGTATGAATAATAGTTTGAATGTGTTTGAATATGAGTTCGAATGTACTTGATTATCGAAATATCTTCAAGGTGGACCTTCTCTTCTGGTGCGACATCTCCTTCGACATAATCCCCCATCTTCGACAGACTATCTTCCTCTGGAGTATTTTTCTTCTTTTCGAAGGACCGATCTTGCATCAGAGTCCCAGATCGTTACCCTTAACCCTCTTCCTGCATTTTCCTGGTGTTCTGGATTCTGGTCTTCAATGGCGGACGGAGATAAAAGATGAGGAAGAAGATAGGTGTGAGATTGTGAGAGAGAGAGAGAGAGAGAGGTTGGTAGGTGAGGTATTAATGAAGGGTTTTTTGGCGCTGGATTTTTCGCCAAAAGTCCCCCCAAAATACCCAAAAACTTGCCCAACCCATTTCGCACTCCTCGCCCCCACCAGATCCTTCAGCTCGGCTTCCCCACAGCTCAAGCGCGGCTTGTCTCCTTCCCCGAGCCCGTCCCGTAGCCAACCAATCATGGCCCTCTGTTGCTGGCTTGGGCGACGTGGCCTCCCCCCCGCCCTGTGAGTTGGTGCAAACAAATTTCGCTGTGTGTACCATAGCGAAATTGGATGGACTAATGATTTGTTGGCAAATTGCAGTTTAGCATATATATATATTTTATATATATAATTTGACACCTAAAATTTATTTTTAATACAAAAAATATTAAAATTGTATGTTTTGATACCTAAATTTTTTATTATAATATTTTAGTACCTCAACTTTTTGAAATTTAATTTAAATATTGGTTCAATCTTTAGATGTCACATGGATCCATAATCCAATCAATTATCATCGACCACCTACGGGAGGACGCACCACTAGTGGACCCCTCTCTCCCGGTTGCGGCTTTTGTCGGAAATGAAGGTGAGTGGGATGAAAGTTCACTTGATATGTTCTTACCCAGGGAGGTTGCCCTGCAGGTCAAAGCACATCAACCAATACGGGAGGATGTAGGTGACGACGAAGTTTTTTGGGGCCCTGAACCGAACTGCAAGTTCAAGGTAAACTCTGCATATGCTCTCACCTGTGGACAGGAGATGGAGCTAAGGGGCTTGGATTGGAAATAAAATTTGGAGCTGGTGCGGATCGGCCTGGACGACCCACTTCCGGGGACGAGCGGCGAGGGCACGCCTGATGACTAACGATTAACGCTGCCTACGTCATGTCTCCACAGATCACAGCTGCTCTCATTTCCAGTCTGCTACTGAGACGGTCCTACATGTGTTGCGGGACTGCCCTTTCCCCACCGACAATTCGTTGGATTACCGTTATAGGAGTGGCTTCTGAAATAACTCCACCACCCAGAGTACGGATTAAGATTTTGCTTCATGTAGTGCAGATGGCCATGGAGAAGGATATGCTCATTCATAAGCCCTTCCTGCCCATTAGAACGGAGGTAGAGATCGCTTGGAAACCGCCACCTCTCGAGTGAGTCACTCTCAACTCTGACGGTTCCGTTATTCTAGACATTGATTGCAGCGTACGCTTGTAAGCTGGGATACTGCTCTATAAACCAGGCGGAGTTGAGAGGTGTTGTTGAAGATCTGCAGGTATGTGTAAATTTTTTAGTTCATGTAATCTACCTTAATCTAGTATGTTCTGAAAAAACTAAAACTTACCTGATCTTCGTCCATGCGCTCCAAGTCGTCCTTTTCCCACCAAGAAGAGTTGTAAAACTCAAGAGCATAAGGAGCCTGTGTGCTGCTTTGACCTTTATCTCCAACAGAACCACTAGACCTCTGTCGAATCTCTGGTATTGTCATCAACTTACCTGCTATCCCCCCACTGCCCATGGCATGGGTGGCTTCAACAACCTTAATTCTACCAATCCTTTAACCAGTAGCTACAAGTTGGGGTGAGGAGGTCCAACACCTTGGACCTTCAAAAAATCCAACAAATGGAGTTGACAGCCAAATAAGAGGAAGATGTTAGATTGGGGAGAAAAAAAGAATATAAATAGCAAGACAAGATTAAAGTATATTCAAATAACTCAGACCGATATTCATAGAACACACACAGTAATATTCATAAAAGAGTAAACTGATATTCAAATAACCGAGTTTTATTTTCCAAGAATACACACCTTATTGAACATTGTACAAAGAAATATTAAGACAATATTGAAATCATATTCAAATAACCCAGACTCATATTCAAAAAACCAGAGTCATATTCAAATAACATACACTATAATCAAGCACATTCGAAACTCATATTAAAACACATTCAAACTATTATTCATACACGATAAAACTAATATTCAAAACAATCAAACATATTTACAAACATAAATGAAAGAACGAATACTTAAAACTTTCAACGAGGAAGTGGACATCTCCATGGACCCAGTTAAGGAATGCCTTTCCTTGAACTGCAGCAAGACTAATCTTCATTTGCGCTACAACAAGGTCGGACCAGTTGTAGCATTTTATCCGCTCAATCTTCCCAACGAGGAACTCCGAAGAGTCAAGCTCACAATTCAGTGACCATGATGGTCGGAGCAGCGAGGCAAGGGCAAGTAGCATGAACTGCTTGACAGCCATACGAACAGGATGCCTAGCATTCTTATCCGTTAACTTGTCCACCATTTCACTAAGAGGAAAAGTCCTGCACCTGTTTCCTCCCATCCCAATCTCGGCTTCAAAAGCCGACAACTTGTTTTTTTCCAGGCACTTCTCCAGCACTATTTCTTCCCCAATGTGAGGAAGGCCATAAATACGAGCCACGTCCTCGTCATCTAGGGTCAGCACCTTTTTCTTCTATCTCTCACCGAAAATGATGCTGCCATAAATAGTATCGTAGTGTCGTGCCATTGCACACAGCATAAACTTATCGACGCCGCGCAATCGTATCTCCAGCAAACCATCGAAGCTCTCCTTCTTAAGCTCCTTCTCGCATTCCTCATAGCAGGCCTCATCCTTCTTCCAAAATTCAATAACACTCAACAATGATGATGTGTGACATCGATGCTGCGTTTTATATGGTTTCTTGCCCTTTCCTTTCCCGCACCTTTCCCAGCAGACATCCCTGCAGACTTCCCTAGCAGACTTCCCCCCAGATTTCCCCGCAGCTTTCCTAGAAGACTTCCCCACAGACTTCCCTGCAGAAGTCTCACCAGACTTCCCGACAGCAAACTTAACTCGTTTTGCAGCAACTTGATCTTCTTAACCAGGAGGAACATCTTCAGCAGCAGGAGGATCTACTAAGGGTCGTTTCAAATGCTTAGGAACACGCTTCTTTATTCGCACCATTGTTCCAAACCTGTAGACCAAAAAAACATCTATTCAGAAAAGGGGGACAAACACAACACAATGAAGAGAACTAATATTCATAACTTTCAACATGCAATATTAATCTAGCTGCAGACAAATAATTTCAATAATACACAACTAATATTCAAAACTAGAAGAACTAGTATTCGTCAACAACACAGTCAACATTATACAACTAATATTCAAAACTAGGAAACACTAATATTCGTCAACTACATAATCAACATTAAACAAGTCATTCAAGGGTATTCGTCAACTACATAGTCAACTAAACTACAAGATGAACACAGAACTAATATTTCAAACAAAAATAACTAGGGATCATTTGCTTCATGGATTTGAAAATGAAGGTTTTCTAATTTAAAAATCCAAGGATTTGTTAGGAATTTGTTGCATTACGGATTTGGGAAGAGTCCATTGTTTGCTTAGTTGATTTGATCATGGATTTATGAATTATGGATTTATATCTTTAAGATGTATATTACCTTACTACCCTTCTTCATGTTAGATTTATATAACTTTACTTGTGTTTCTAATTTTATTCTTGTGGTCATATTGTTAATTTATGTTTTTAAATTGAAATTTTATAGCAAGCTCGTAAAGTTAGTAGCCACGAGATATTAAAATGTGTAGATAATCACAATATATAGTTGTAATCTTACAATTTTTGGCTAAAATTTGTTTGTTAGAATTACTATTTTAATAACAAATGTAGTTTGTAGCTAAAGGGTATTACTTGGCATCCAAATCAAAATTTAAATGAAAATAATCATACGTTTATCGCAAAATAAATGTGTGGCAAAGACCTTCACAAATAGCCATGAGGAATAAATTATGTAGTCATTAGCATGTTATTAGCTACAATATTACTTTTAATGACTAAGTTTGTAGCTATAAGAGGCAATTGTAGTAGTGCAAATTAAGAATAACTAATGACGGGTAAAGTTGGAATAAATAAATGATAAAGGGATATATAAGTCATTTTTCATGAAGGATTTGTTCCCTTTTTCAAATCCTAAGTAAATAGGTGGGATTTACAAATCCGTGGGGCCCCAAATCAGTGGACCCCACGAATTTGGTACTCTCCATTTTGGCTCAACAAACAATGACTTTTGGACAAATCCTTCATATGTTGGATTTAAGAACCAAATCCCACATCCAAATCCATGAAGCAAACGACCCCCTAGTATTCAACAGATTGAAGGTTAACAGGGAACAAGGAACACAAGAATCAACTAAAATGGAGTTTACGGTAACAACTACTTTTGGATTCAACCATATTTACTGATTCTAAGCTAGAATCGATTCTAAGCAAGAACCCAAAAACTTAGTCAACAAAAAAGTGACATATCTCGCCCACACAAGACACTTTATGAAGAATACCCTTGAGAATCGAGTCGATTTTGAAGGTATACCAAGAAACCCTAAACTTGTATTCAGTAAACCCTAAACACCCAAGAATAAAGCAAAAAGGGGGATTCACGGAAAAAACCACGCCTAGAAAGTAAAGGACAGAGGGAGAATTGTCCTCACTGGTATTAATACGCGAGAAAGGCTGGCCAAAATACATAGAGACAAGGAAAGCGAGGACGACGAAGGAGTTTGGCGACGAGCAGGACATGCGATAACAAGGATAGCTTCGACGAGGAAGAATCGTCCTTCCTTGTGTTTTGTGTATTTCAGCCAGCCTTTCTCACGTATTAATACTGGTGAGGACGATTCT